AAGTCAAAATATAGATTAAAAAATGACTTCCATCATTACTGTCATTACTATAGTTATAATTGTTTATAGCCAGCTATAAGTTGGAGCTGATAATAATTGGAAGGACAATATGGTAGGACAAGCTTTACTGACTCGCAGTTGAAATGCGCCAATAAACAGAAACATTATTGTCATCGTCAAACATTTGTGAAGCACCCCCCTCTACAATTGCTGGTGTGTGTGTGTGTGTGTGTGTGTGTGTGTGTGTGTGTGTGTGTGTGGTAGTGGGGGGTGTCTGAAGCAGTAGATGAATTCCCACTGTTTCTCTCAAATTCTTCCACAGCAATTTTCAAGAACCTTAGGTTTTTTGTAGCATTTCTGAACCATCCCTGCTCCAAGAGCTAAAACCACCCTTACAGAGATTTCATTCTCCACACACTGAAGTGTTTTGGTTTTGTTTTTCCTGAATTGTGAATTTATTTATATTTCTTAAAACTTTAAAATTAGCACATTTAGTTGTATATATCCTGGGTTGCCATTACAGAAAATGACACAGTCGAGTGAAATTAGGAATGTTTCTTTGAGCAATCTAAAATCTTTAGTCACAATAAATATTCAGTCTTTAGAATCATGGGAATTAAGATACAGTAATATAGTAATAAAGAGGCTGTGGTTTGATTCCACCTTACACAGCATGCTTTTGGCTGTCTGTTTTTCATTATCGGTTTACTATAAATCTGTCTTTTCATCATATTCTGAATGTACTCTGCATTTTCATTAATTAAGAAACATTTATGGGACACCTACAGTATGCCAGATATTTTGCTACGAGGTGATAGAAGATATGACGGTATAGTCATGATCAAAGGAATTTATAGTCTAGGGGAAGAGATAGTCAAGTGAACCAGTGGGTACCATCCTCTCTTAGGGCTTGGGCTAAGCTGTGCCCCGGGTGTTCTGGTAGCACAGAGGAGGGGCATTTAAATGAGAGCAGGTAGACTTGAGCTGACTTCTCAAGGATGACAGACATGAGCTAGGAAAGCATTCTAGGCACAGAGACAGGAAGCCAAAGGCACAGAGGCGGGAAGTAGCCTGGTGCAGTCAAGGAGTAACTAGTAGGTTAATGTGGTCAGAGCACAGGGTTAGCATGCTCAGTGGAGCTGGAGAGAAGGTTAGAAAGGTGGGTAGGGGCCAGATTTTCAAAGGTTGGGCGTGTGGAAAAGAACACGGACTGAGAAGGAAGCTCAGGTTCTCACCCTTTTTCTAGCTGGACTTTTTATGGGTCCTCAAGCATGTCACTGGGCATAGTGTCCTCATTAGTATAATCAGAGAATGAGGAAGAGTCATTGCGAAACCTTGTTCCAGAAACACTGTTCCAGAAGATGTGAAAAGGTCTATGCTGTGCCGTGAAAAATGTTTTCTTGGGGCGTCTGAGTGGCTCAGTCTGTTTAAGCATCCGACTTTGGCTCGGGTCATGATCTCACAGTTTGTGAGTTCGAGCCCTGCGTTAAGCTCAGTGCTGACTGACAGTCGGGAGCCTGCTTCAGATTCTGTCTCCCTCGGTCTCTGTCCCTTCCCAACTCGTGCTCTGTCTCTCTCTCTCTCTCTCTCTCTCTCACACACACACACACACACACACACGAAAAGAAAAGAAAAAAATGTTTTCTTTACTTAAATAATTAGGGGAAGATTGAATACCACACACATTTGCCTGTTTAAGATTCACAATGAAATTAGCATAGTAAAAGTTTCCAGAGTCCTCCCTCCAGTGAAGAAACCACTTCCGTTCTCTTTAACTTAGCATTTTCAATTACTTGAACTTAGAGTCAGTTTTCTGTAATATTAATATTGGCATCATGCTGCAGAACCCCATTTTGACGAACTATGGACAAGGTCTTAAAGGTCCAATCATCATCATTCATTCATTCAAGTTTTTCAAAGCGCAGAACTCAAGAGCTGGTCCTTATATACCCTGTTGTTATTTTAGCCTGCTGGTGTATCCCTGTGAGAAACTTTAGTTATTTCTCATAGCACTGTTTTTTGGGTTTTTTTTTTAATTGCGTCTGCTATCTCGGGATTTTTTTTTTCCTTTTCTCATTTTTCACATCATGCCCAGACTTTATTACCTGGTAATAAGTTGCAAGAAATGAGAATTGAGTTGTTTCTAAACAAATATCAATCATTTGTGATATGTTTAGTAGAAATTATAATGAATATAATCAGGGTTTTACTTATTATAAAGTCATTATATTCAACATTGGCAAATCCCAGAATTAATAACAAGTCAATACATCATTTGAAATGCCAAAGAAATCAAATAAATAAAAACATAACTGACCTTGTTAAAAATTTGATATTTTCAACATTTATCTGTCAGAGCCCCTGATTTAGAAAATGTGATAAATTCTTGAAAAATGGGAACTTTTTTCCCCTGTAAAATATACCCATCATTTGGCAAACTACAGTGTCATTTGCCTTGAAAAGAACGTGGTGATTGATTATCCAGAGTGCTACCATGACAAGGTAAACCAAGCAAATAGCTGGAAAATTGTATGTAATCATACAGCATAACATAGGCTCTTTGTTGAGCACAATCATTAGAATTAAACTGTGGCATTCCAGTCATTCCCTGTAGGTACTTCCTATTCACCCCAAAACCTCTGTCTCCGGGGGGGACGTTCCCACGTGCTTACATTTTCCCCTTCCCCTCCGACCATGACCATCGCACGAACAAAGACCACACCGAACCCACACGACAAGATTGCAGAACACAAGGAAGCCGACGTCTGGCATCTCTTTGTGCCATTCGGAAAGGTTTATTTACATGTGCTAACATTACCAGTACTGTTTCTTTTATTAGTAGCATTTTCCTGAAGGTCCTGAGAAATTGTAAACACGTGGGGGAGGGGAAGGATGGGAGATGGACAAAGGGAAATGAAGAAAGCCAGTCTTGCTTTTGAGAAGCTGGTGTTCTAATCAAGAAGACCAAACACATCTGAGATGACCTAAAAACAATTCTACATCTCTTCCGCTGTGTAAAAGCACCATGCACCAATTGAATACCGGCGTGATGGAGGCCAGTAGAAGAGCCACCAAATTATCCTTGGTTATTAGAAGACGAAATTGAGTCATATGAAAGGAATACGCTCCCCAAACCTGCCCCGAGTTAATTATCAATAGCTTAATTGGAAATAGAACCAAGCCCTTTCTCTCAGTAAAGCTGAGCAATCCCCCAGTGCCCCTCTTCCCTACGGTGTTTCACATTTTCAGCGGGCTTTGTTAGGAGGGCTGAACTCCGCTCCCCTTTATTAATTGCCCTCCGCGTGTTGTAGGATACCCTGTGTTCTGAATCAGGATGAGGATTTTAGATTCTTCTGAGCAGCGTGGGGACATGTAGCTAAGCAGAATCAATTCCTGTCACTCACACACAAATACAGGAGAACGGGATTATGGATCAGGGTGAAGCCGCAGTGCTTTAATCTTAAAATCAATACTGAAAAGGAAGTTGAACTTGTGGGGATTCTATAGAGACTGTAATTTGGTTTCCTATGAGGTTTGCCTTCCAGAATATAACTGTTCCTTCCTTTTCACCTTCTGATTATTTTACTTGGGGGGGGGGGGGTTGGTGCGGGGGGGAGAGGACCAGAAGAAAAGAAAACCTCTACTTATCTGGAATAAGTATGCACATATGAACTCGTAACTCAAGCTGATCCTCCATTGTATTGAAAAGAGCTGTACGCTTTTATCCATTCTTTTAATTTTTAGAAGAAAAAAAATTAACCCGGACCCTGAACCCCATAGTCTGCCTTTACCCAGAGTAAAATGCCTTTGATTTTTTTCACAGGTCACTATCAGAGTAGAAAAAAAAAATTTTTTTAATGTTTATTTTTATGGCCTGAATCTAACCATAAGCTTATGTAATTCTATGTAAATAAATACATCTTCAACAAACCAGTTATCGACCAAAGGATTCCAAGATGCTAAGCATGTGATTAGTATTTACTCCAGCGTTATTCTGCTCCTTTTGAAAGAGGCATGAACTAATGGTTTAAACAACTCAGTCTTTTCTTAATCCGAGGTTTAGGGTTGATTGAATGTGCCTCTTCTCAGAACACTGATTTACTGCACAGTACCGTCCGTCTTTAGCTGTAAGGTGGCTTTATTATTTGTTTCCCTGGGATATTTCTTTAATTCCATTTTTGAAATAGTGTCTGAGTCTGTTTGGACTCTGCTTCTGCAGCAGCAACAACAATAGGAAATATCTGATCCAACAAGAAAATGGTTGGGCCGCAAGCAGGGGAACTCCGGGCTAGCTCTCAGGCAGAATGGTATAGTTAAAAGAGCAAAGCCCGCAGCCCGTGCTTTGTTCGCTACCTTTTCTAAGCCTGTTTCTTCATCTTTAAACTGTGGATGATCGTGGGGCTCGCCTGATAGATAGGTACGTGGAGAGGATTAAGTAAGCTAAAGTATGTAGGGTGCCTAGCACTGGACTTCCCACTTGTAAGGACCCAATAAATGGTCATGATTCCCATGATTAATGTGAGTCTCAAATGAGGTAACGTATGCTGTGTATGTGAAAACACTGCACAAGCCCAGAAGGCACAATACAAATGTTGTTGTTCTTAAGAGACTGAGATTTGGGAACTTTTAAAACAAATCACGGAGGACATTTTCTGTGTTGCGTTTCATAGGTCCCTAATCTCAAAGTAGAGCCCTGGAGGAGATAATCCAGGGGCTTGAAAGCCATAGCCATAGCTTGTGGATGCCAAGAAGCCTTTGAAACCAATCTGTAAATCCCTGTCCGGTGTCCTTCCACAGAACGTACTTTCTCAGGGGTTTGGGAAACCGGCACTATGTAAGATACGTATTTGGTTGTTTGCAGTCGATACTTATCATGAGGGTCGCATCCTTCCAGGAAGGCTCAAGTCGTAAATGATTGCCTCCTTTCAGTGGCCTTTCCTTGTCCTTCACATGACATCAAAACAAAACGAAAACTCATGAATTTCTGTGTCCTCTCGCAGAGCACAATCATCGTGGAGAAGACAGTGCAAGACCTCATGAACCTGATGCACGACCTGAGTGCGTACTCGGATCAGTTCCTCAACATGGTGTGCGTGAAGCTCCAGGAGTACAAGGACACCTGCGCTGCGGCCTGCAGGTAGAGCTCAGGGTGGGAGCCAAGGAGAGTCACGTCAGACCCTGACCCTTGTTATGCTTGTTGATGCTGCTTTCGGAGCCTCACTTTTCCACCGTGATAGAAAAGGACCGGTTTTTGCGTTTGTCAAGGGGCCTGATGGGAGCACGTGTCGCAGAAATAGTCTCCTAGATGCACATGTCATCATACCGACAGAGGGAATGAGAGCGACCAAGGGGCAGCACCACTTGGGACTGCCATTGAGTGGCATGGACAAGGTGTCAACCTTGATTTTCAGGAAAAGCTAGAACTGTAAGATTGTCTTCTTCAGGGAAATGCCAGATCACATTTAGATCTCGTGATCCTAAAAGATCTTTAAAGTAAAGCAGTTTCAAGCTTTCAGCATCGTTTATAATCCAGAATGTGATTTCTCCCTAGTTCTTAAAATGTGTTTCTCCTGATGCCTGATCTGTAGCCTTCCCACTGTCATGAAAAGATAGTTACACCTGCTTCCAGCATCAGCAGAAATGAAGAACCATTGTTAGGAACTTGAAATCCCTTGGCCTCCCCTCTGATTTCTTTTCTCTGGGTTCAGAAATCTCATGGAAAAGATCATAGCGCTTGTGGTAACAAGCTAATAATAGGAACAAATTATGGTCTGGTTGACAAGACCTGAAACAATTAGGGAAGAAAAGAATGTATAATAAAATACTAAATTTTATGTGATGTATAATTAAGGATAGATATGAAAGTGCAGTACATAATCAAGTACTACCTGCACAGTACAGGACGTAAGAGCAGAAGGAATGAAATGTGAGAGAGAAAAACAGAGAAGAGGGGACTGGCTTGAGGAAAGACTTCTCAGGTGAGATGCGTGCTGTGTCTCAGAAAGACATGGGATGGAGGGAGGCGGACAGAATAAAGAAGGACGTTGAGGGACACAGTGGAAACACCGACGTAGTTCCCTGATATTTCAGCAAAACCATTACCTTCCTTGTGGGGGACCCAAGGCTGGACACAGTGCTTCTTATTACGTCCTGTCATTGCACTGGTCAGAGATTTCTGGAGCCTTTACCAGATCCAAGACAGCTGAGTGTGCAGGGATGAAGTCAGTCAATCAGTCTCCGGTTATAACTTTAATGAGTTTGCCATCTTGGTAGAAGATAGCAAGGCAAATTGGAGACCAAGGCATGAATGTCCACAACATTAATTTGTGACAGAAAATATGGTAAGATAGGTGGACACGCTGTAGGAGGAAGAAATGACTTGGGGACAGGAGCAGCTCGATGAAGGGTATGAAGTAGGCCTTGTGAAGAGTGAGAAGGAGTTAGACAGGATTTGGACTAAAGTTGCTGAAGGAAGGAAGGAACCAGAGCAATTTCAAGGAGGTGGGAAGAGAAGGAAAAGAAACAACAAAGGATGAATGTTTGGGTTTTTGGAAAGGAAGACTGAGCCAAAATGGAGGATCTTAAATGCCAGGCTGAGGGAACTTGGCCTTGTAAAAACTTTTAGGTAGTGGGGAACCACTGAAGGGGAGTGAATGGGGAGTACCAAGCACAGACCTGTGCGTCAGGAAGATTTTTCTGAGCTTTGTGTAAGATGGACTGAAAAGGCAAGAGTGTGGAGGTGGAGGGAGAGGGACAGATCAGGAGACACTAGGAGGTAAATTTGTAGCCTTGTGGCCGCTGGTTGGCTGTAGAGGGTGGAGAATGCAGGGAGAAGTACTCGGGGAAATTAGCCTTGTCTTTCCTGTGCTGTATTTGTAGAGAATTTTTTTTAACTTGAATTCAAGATCTCACATTTACCCATTAAATTTAATGGTATTTTTAGCTCAACGCTTCAGTCTTTTGAGATATTTTTGAATCCTCATTCTGTCATCAGAAAATCTTAGCTTTTCCCCACATTCCGTACCATTCTTGATAAGCAATCTTTCAGTTTCTTATTATGTCATTTGAAAAAAAAAAACAGTGTTCAACAGGACGGGGCTAAGTTGAGAATTCAGGGCGCACCTCTCGAGACTTCCTTTGAGATTCCCATGTATATGTTACTCAGTGCTTCAGGAGTTCATGTGTTTTTTTTAACTGTGAACCCAGACTGTACCTCAAGAGCAGGGTCTGAAACCTACATTTGAATGCCAAGTTTTTCACCTGTTAGTTATATGACCTTGAACCGTTTCAGCTTCTCTGTGCCTTACTTTTCTCATCTGCAAAGAAAAAAAAAGGGGGGGATAATAATAGTTCTTCCCTCGTAGGGTTGTCTTGAAAATGTTAGTCTTCTAGACCTATTTTCAGCGAAATAGTAAGCTTCCCCCAAAATGATTAGCCGAGACTCTGATGATGACAAAGATTACCTTTATCACCATCCATGACGGTACCTCCTGTATTTTATTATCTGCCCTATGAGAGACTTGTTAGATTTCTTGCTGGTGTCTTTCGAGTCCTAATCCTTATAATGCATCTACCTCCCCGCTCAGGTCTCCCCAGATGGGCACGTACAAGTCTGCAAAGGACAGTACTAGGTATTTGTTCAGGAACCCTCCCAAGGGGTCCCTTTCACTTTCAGGACCAATGGGCCCTACCCTGCTGAATCTTTGTTAAGAACTCTCGTCTTGGACAGCTTACAAATTACCCTTGGAAACAAGGTCTCTTGACCTTGAGCCAAATTGACCATTTCTTCCTTCAAGTCAAGGAGTAACTCAGGAGAGGAACAAAGTTGGCGTGACTTGTGCATTGTGAGCCCTTCTTGGCTCCTCGTGAGGACCACTTCCTAATTGTTCACAAGCCATGTTCAATAACCTGTTCGAGAATTTTACCTGTAACTCCAAACTCAGCCGATTTCTGTCATGTACCTTCTTTTCTTTTAGGAACATCAGGGCGTTTGCTCTCAGGCGTTTTTCACTGTCTGCCAGGATACCTCTAAGATTATCAGGAAGGCTTCTGTGATTCTCTGCTCTGAATTATTTCTGTGCCCCAAGGTCCTTGCCTAAATTTATTAAACCTGTCAGAATATTCTTGAATTTCAGTAACTTGACACAGTTGGTTACTCAATCCTTAACATAATATGTTGGTTTCTAGGATTTCATGCATTCGACAAATGTTTATTGAGTACTTCTACAAGACTTTGTAGATACAGCAATGAACTTAAAGATAAAATGCTGCTTTCATGGGGTTTACATTCTGTTGGAGACAGAAGAGAGGAGATACACAATAAATGTAATGCATAAACACAAAGAATTTTAAAACAGTAAGTACCATCGGGGGAAAATGGAATAGGGTGAATAGATTCGAGAGTATAGGAGAAGGAGCCTGTAATTTTAAATAGGGTGCCCCAGAGGGCCCGCTCAAGTTAAGTTTGAGAAGAGGCCCAAAAGAATTTTGGCAGTGAGATAAAGTATCTGGAAAGAGTGCCCTGGCAGAAGGCTAAGGCCCTGAGGCAGGACTCTGCATGACACATTCCCAGGGCCTCAGCAGGGAGACCAGTGTGATTGGAGTGTATTAGAAGGACATCCGTGGGGCACCTGGGTGGCTCAGTCGGTTGAGCGTCCGACTTCGGCTCAGGTCATGATCTCCCAGTTCGTGAGTTCGAGCCCTGCGCCGGGCTCTGTGCTGACAGCTCAGAGCCCAGAGCCTGCTTCGGATTCTGTGTCTCCCTCTCTCTCTGCCCCATCCCCACTCATGCTCTGTCTCTCTCTGTCTTAAAAATAAATAAAACATTAAAAAAAAGGTTAAGAAAAAAAAAAAGAAGGACGTCCAAAAGAGAACAGGGGACAGACCATGGAGGGCCTTGTCGGCCATGGTAGGGGTACTGAGTTCAACTCTGAATGAAAGGGGGAGCCACTGCAGGAATTGTGCCTAGGGCCAGGATGATCTGACTTACATTGTAAAATGTATTGAGAATCGGTTGTAGGGCCACAAGGGTGGAAGCAGGGAGACCATGTGACGGCTGCTGTGGCAATCCAGGTGAGAAACGAAGACCGTCTCATACTGGTTGGTAGTAGCAGAGATGGTGAGAACTGGTTGAATTCCGAATATATTTGGAAGGGCCAACCTGCGTGATTCCCTGCCTGATTAGATAGTGTGAGAGAAGGAGAGGTGTCAAAAATGACTCCTAGGATTTTTTATTTGAAAAGACAGAGTTGCCGGCTCTTGAGACAGAGGACCCTGCAGGTGTGGGAGCAAGCAGATGAGGAATTCAATTTGGGGTGTCTCAGGGCGCCTGGGTGGCTCAGTTGATTAAGCATCCAACTTCGACTCAGGTCATGGTGTCATGGTCTGTGGGTTCGAGCCCCGTGTCGGGCTCTTTGCTGATAGCTCAGAGCCTGGAGCCTGCTTCCTATTCAGTGTCTCCTCTCTCTCTGCCCCTGCTCCGCTTGTGCTCTGTCTCTGTCTCTCAAAAATACATAAATGTTTACAAAAACATTTACATTTGGAGTGTCTCTTAGGCATCCACATGGAGCTAGGGAGCAAGCAGTTGGATGTATGCCTCCAAAGGAAAGAGGTCTGGCCATCAACATATAAATAGTAGCTATAAATGGTGTTTAAAACCATGGACGGGGGGCGCCTGGGTGGCGCAGTCGGTTAAGCCTCCGACTTCAGCCAGGTCACGATCTCGCGGTCCGTGAGTTCGAGCCCCGCGTCGGGCTCTGGGCTGATGGCTCAGAGCCTGGAGCCTGTTTCCGATTCTGTGTCTCCCTCTCTCTCTGCCCCTCCCCTGTTCATGCTGTGTCTCTCTCTGTCCCAAAAAATAAATAAATGTTGGAAAAAAAAAATTAAAAAAAAAAAATAAAACCATGGACGGGAGTGAATGCAAACATGACAGGGAAGAGGACTATGGGTTTGAAGGAGTTTGCAAGGAGAGGAGAAGTCACCAAAGTTGACTGAGAAGCAGCCCCCAGTGAAGTAGGAGGAAAGTCAGAGTAGGGTGTCCCAGAAACCAAGGAAAGAAGGGGGAGGGGTTGATCAGCATTCAATCAGCATTAGAACAGAGCAGTGACTGAGCGAGAGATTTAACAGCATGGAGGTCAT